TATCAGGTGACCAGACTACAGACGCATACTCAAGGTGAGATCTGACCAGGGAATTATATAATCTTACTATTGTATCAATATTTTTAAAATGTTTTGTATTTCTTATAATAAAACCTAATGCTCGATAGGCCTTATTAATGACGTAAAGGTAATGATCATTAAATTTCATATTAGTTTGGAAGTTGACTCCAAGATCTTTGCATTTGGTTTTTCGTTGTAATGGCTTATTGCTTATTGTGTAAGTATTATTTATAAAATTTATTTTGCGAGTATATGTAATAGTTTGACACTTGTCAATATTGAGATGCATTTTATGGTCGAGAAACCAACTAGTGATAGAATCCAGGTCCTCCTGCAATCTCTCGCAATCGCCAGTTCCAGTAATCGGCTTAAAGACCTTGAAATCGTCAGCAAATACCAAGCTCTCAGAGTACCTAATACAGTTCGGCAAATCATTAATGAAAATGGCGAAAAGCAAGGGACCCAGATTGCTACCTTGTGGCACCCCTGATGTTACCAAGTACGACCTTGAGTAATAATTACCTATTTTAACTTTTTGTTTCCATTTATTTAAGTAAGACTGCATAAAAAGACAAGCACTATCTGAAAAACCGAAGTCACCTAGTTTACAAAGCAATATACCATGATCGAGTTTGTCAAATGCCTTCGCACAGTCCGTCATGATTACATCCAATTGATTTCTTTTATAAATTGCTTCCATAGCATGTGAAGTAAGAGTACATAAATTTGATACTGTAGACCTATCTGGCAGGAAACCATGTTGACTGATAGAGAAACAGTTGCTAAAGTTATGCATTATATCATTATAGAGAATCTTCTCAAAGATTTTTTCTAGAGTATTTAAAATACTTATGGGCCTATAGTTCTCAACTTTGCTGTGGGAACCAGATTTAAAAATAGGGGTAATTAAGGATTCCTTTAATAGCGTAGGAAAAGAATTAGTTTTAATAGAAAGGTTAAAGATATAACTTAAAGGTTTCAAAAATACATCTATGCAGCCCTTGAAAATAAAGGAAGGCACATTGTCAGTTCCAACACTTTTTATTGGCTTGAGTTTTTTTATGCTTGACCTTACAGTTTCCTCTGTGATCCTAGAAAAAGAGAAATTACCAAATTTGTCATTTGTACTTGCTACAGATGGTTCTTCATAAACAGATGAAAAGAACTGGGCAAAGGCATTTGCAATCTCTTGTGAGGTATTAAAGGATTTATCGTTATAAGACACTTCTGTAGGAATGCCTTTATTCTTGCTTTTTGTTTTTATAAAGGACCAAAAACTCTTTGGATCCCTATTTATATTAATTTCAAGATTGCGCTGATATAAAGTATACTCATGCTTAGTCTGCTTCCTAATAGAGTATCTTAGGCTCTTGAATTCCTCCATGGTTAACATGTCGGCTCTCCCAGTCTGTATTTGCTTATGCAGTCTATTTTTCTTCCTTATTTTTCTTACAAGATCTACGGAAAAATAACTAGGAAACTGACCCTTTTTTCCCACCTTAACTTGCCTCTGAGGTACAGCCAGCCTAATACATTGCAACAGAATATTGTAAAATTTATCTAAACATTCATCCACATTTCTACTACTATAACAATCTGACCAGTTAGCAGAGTTTAAAAGATGATAGAGTAAAACATAGTCACCATTTGCATAGTCGAATGTATGACTATTTTGTATACACACAGACTGAGTAGAATTACGGATATCTAACTTTAATGACATGCACAATGCTGGATGATACGGATCTTTGGCTACAAGAGGATAGACGCACTCAGTCACACTGTCAACATTCATGTTAGTCAATATAAGATCAAGCATTTTTTCCTTATAATTTAAGATTGTATTACTTTGAGCAAGATAGTTCATATTTAAAAATTGGTCTAGGATAATACTTACATCACAGCCCTTAGTGACAAAATATGGACAATTAAAATCGCCTAATATCACAATATCCACTTCATTAATTAAATGATTGTAATTTTATTTTACTGCCTAGTAAGTATGTTTTCAATATTAATTATGATTATCTAATTAGTTCATCTCATAAAAGAAAGGTAAACCACTAAAAATTTGTAATAATTTGCCAATTTTTGTGATTTTTGTCTGGCTCCTGTGCCTAATCTGCCAAATCTAGAAAGTGGTTTTTTTTCAGGTATCAAGTACTTATACAATATAAAACGTAAAGTTACGTTTTATATTGTATAAGTACTTGATACCTGAAAAAAAACCACTTTCTAGATTCTATAGTTCTATTATTTTAAGTTTCTAGACATTCATTTTCTTTATTAAAAAAATTATTGAAACTTGATAATTTTCAAAATTTGCCAATTTTGCCCTCAGAAATCATAATGTTGAGGAAAAAATAAAAATCTGAAACTTTCAGGAAATGTAGTCCCCACCTTCTTTCTTTCAGTCTAGTTAGTCTTGTTTTGTTATTTTTATCCATGTAAAAGATATAATAATTTTTTTAATGCAGTTAAGAAGCGATATTGTTAGTTTTATTTATAATTTAAAATTCTGAGGGCAAAACTGACTAATTTTAAGAATTATCAAGTTTCAATAATTTTTTTAATAAAGAAAATGATAGTCTAGAAACTTAAAATAATAGTTACGTTTTCTATTGTATAAGTACTTGATACCTGAAAAAAAGCAACTTTCTAGATTTAGCAGAATAGGCACAGGGGCCAGACAAAAAACACAAAAATTGGCAAATTATCATGAATCTTTAGTGGTTTACTATTCTTTTATGAGATTAACTAATTGGATAATAATAATTTATATCGAAAACACACTTACTGAACAGTAAAACAAAATTAAAATCATTTCAATATTTGTCACAGAAAAAAAGTTCTGGCCCACTATAAGAGAGTAAGAAATTGACATGATTTCAGATTTCTAAAGGGTGCCGATTAAAAGTAAAGAATCCAAAAATTAAAACGGCAACGGATTTTCATATTTGATACCTAAAAGATCATCCTCAATTTTTTTTATTAAAATAAAAAATCAAGCATTGCACCACATTTGGTGTTTTTATTTGGAATGACTCTGTATAAATTAAATTGGGGTAAACTAAAACACTGTAGTACTTGTATACCACGTAAGCAATGTATTTAATGATACAAGTTGATAAACACAAAGTAGAGGTTCAAATTTAGGTAGGACGATCAAAAGCCAAAGCCTCAAATAATAATTTTGTAAATTTTATATAAAATTGATTTTACGAATCTGGGGCTAAGGAAAAATCTTTACAATACATTTTAAGTTTAGGCATATACATTAGACTGGGCCAAAAAAATCGACAATTTTTTTTTGTTAAGTATATCAAAAATATTGTTTGGGGTGACAAAAAAAAATTATGGTGAAAGTTTGAGTCCATAATATTATTATTAAGAGGTCTATCATCGCAATTTTAGATTTTTTTTTCCTGAGCGAGTTTTTGTCTCAGAACTCCCGTTGAGTTTAACAAAATTGACTTAGGAATATTTTTTGAAGAAAATTAAATGCTCTACAAATTTCCCGTCAGATGAACCGTTTTCTTACAATCATGCCTTAAAAATTGGTATAGTTTTACAATTTGATCTTTTAACTTTGGAATTTTGTAATTCATGTAAAAATCAGTACCCGAAAAAAAAACGATAAATATGGGAAATCAAATGCTCTACAAAAAAATCTTTTATCATTTTTGGCTAAATTTACTCCATCAAAAGTTATTCAAGGTTAAATTTAATAATTTTTGATGGAGTAAATTTAGCCAAAAATGATAAAAGACTTTTTTTGTAGACCATTTGATTTTGCATAGGAATATTAATCGGTTTTTTATGGGTACTGATTTTTACATGATTTACAAAATTCAAATTTAAATGATCAAAATGTAAAACTATACCAATTTTTAAGGCATGATTTTAAGGAAACGGTTTATCTGACGGAAAATTTCACTTTAACCTTTTTTGTAGAGCATTTAATTTTCTTAAAAAAATATATTTTAGTCAATTTTGTTAAACACAATGGTTTGGGAGTTCTGAGACAAAAACTTTCTGAGGAAAAAAAAATTAAAATTGCGATGATAGATAGGGTTGCCACCCGTCCTTCTTTGTGGAGGACAGTCCTCTTTTGATAAGATCATGTCCTTCGTCCTCCTTTAAATGAAATATGTCCTCCTTTCTATGTATTTTATTGTGCTCTGTCAAAAATATTTTTCTCGATAAACCAATAAAATAACAGGTTTTCAAACAATAAAAAATGATGTTGGCCGTTATTTGCGCAGCGCGAACTCCTCCCAACTTAAGAGGAGTTCGCGCTGCGCAAATAACGCATTTTAAAAACCACTACTTAAAATTCTTAAGTACTTACTAACGCCATTTGCAATAGCAGACGGTTGCTTGTTGCGTTGCCATTTTATTGATTTATATAACTGTAATCAATGTTGTTTTCTTGAGCCTGCCTTGCTTATTTTATATAATCATGAATCACAGCATTGAATCAGCAGATTCGGTGTTTCATAGATTTATAAATTGTAATGGTTAAATTATAAAAGGTTATTTTTAATTTAAAGTAATGTATAATGTAGGTATAGGTAATGTTTAGAGAATCGGCGCCAAAAAAATAGATTTAAGATTTAACTGACATATAATAATAAATTTACTATGTTATTTTTATCTGACTGCAATGTTGTTTTGTTTTTGTTATAAAAATGTATTTATTTAGGTAGGTATAATAGTTATTAGTTTAATGTTCCAGTTAATAAAGTTAATATTGGAAGGAATTGGTCCTTGGTCATTTTTGTTGAACTTGTTTTGATTTTGATATTGCTCCCTTTTTTTGGAAAAATTTTCACGGCGGGCTTTTTTTATGTCCTCCAACCCCAAGCTTAAAAGGTGGCAACCCTAATGATAGACCTCTTAATATTAATATTATGGACTCAAACTTTTACAATAATTTTTTTTTTGTCATCCCAAACCATCTTTTCGATATACTTTTAAAAAAAAAAAGTTGATTTTTTTGGCCCAGTCATACATACGTTAATAAAACAATTATAAAATCATTCGTCCACGTGTAAATCAGACTGCTGAACCATTTTCGAGAAAGAACCCTCCCTGTTTTTCAGTAATGTCTTTGGATGATCGTACTCAAGCACGTTTCCCCTGTCAAGTACCAAGACCTTGTCGCATTCAATAATTGAGTGCAATCTGTGAGCTATAGTGAATACGGTACAATTTTTGAAAATCTCCTTGATAGTGTTGTTCAACAAGGCTTCTGTTTCTGAGTCCATGTTTGCTGTCGCCTCATCCAAAACGACAATTTTATTTTTCCTAATAATCGCTCTGGCAAGACAAACGAGCTGCCGTTGTCCCGAACTGAAGTTTGTTGCGCTTTCTTTGATCGGCATATCAAGGCTCGGAATCATATCCTTAATTTTAACTTTTCCAATCGCCTCCCATATTTGTTCGTCTTTAAACATGTTTAACGGGTCGATGTTTGATCTTATCGTGCCCCTAAACAAAACCGGATCTTGAGGAATGATGGCGATGCTTTTTCTAAGTTGCGTCAGCGAAACGGTTTTTATGTCCACCCCATCGATATCGATGGAGCCTTCGATGTCGTACAATCTGAACAGGGTCGAAATAATGGAAGATTTTCCGGACCCGGTGCGTCCCACGATCCCGACCTTTTCCCCGGCTTTCACCTCTATATTCAGATCCTTTAAGACTGCCTCGTGCGTGTTTCGATATTTTAGAGAAACCTTTTTGAATTGTACCGCTCCGTGTTTGGGCCAATCTTGCGGCGATTGACCAGACCCGTTTTCTGGCTTAATTTCCGTGTATTCCATAACACGTTCCATCCCTGTCATCTGGTTTTCCAGCTCGGCCCATTGCCGTATGCCCCATTGGACCTGGCCGGCCAATATAAACACCTGAGTAATGGCTAATCCAACCTCACCGGCACTTTCCCCTAAAAAAGCAACAAAAACTTAAACAAACGAACGTAAGTAAGCTAAATCGCCGCTGTCTAACCGGAATTGAAGAACATAAACCTGGATATAACAATTGTTATTAAACTTGTACTCAAAAAGTCCATAGCAAAATCTAATGCTCGATTTGAACAGTGTAAAGTGTAGTGAGCTGACGTAAAGAGATCCTGATGACGATCAAATTCGTCTTTTAAAATACGTTGCTGTTTAAAAGCCCTTATGGTTGTTAGGCCTTCCATTGATGCGTTTAAATGGCCCATTATAGGACTTCGAGCTAAAATAACCTCATCAGTTGCCTATGCGACTCTTACTCTTACTTACTACTTACTTGATGACTCTAATCTTTTTAAACTTCGTCCTGCTGGTATATACAGTTTTTTTAGCACAACTATTATTATCCCAAATATTATAGCTGCCAAAAAAAATCTCCAGTTTATCATTGCCAATATAAATACGATTCCTCCAATGGTAAACAAAATCTTAAAGATATTTTAATTAAAAAGAAAAATTATGCTGTACCAAATAAACTCACCCCAAAGCATTCACGTAGCACACTGGGGACCACTTCGTCCAAATTGTTTAAATCTTGCGAAAATCTGTTAATGATATTGCCAATAAAGTGCGAATCAAAAAAATACATGACCGCATTTATAATAGAGTGTGTCATGGCTTTGTGTATGCAAAAAGAAGCCACCCTGGCAAAATTCAACAGGCAATAAGTCCTTATTATCTGTAATGCCACCGAAATTATCAGCATCAAGCTAAACAAGTTAAAAGTAAATGTACTATCCTTTTCGATTCCGGCACATTCTGATGCATTGGTGCTGGCATTTAAAAGTTCTTGACAAATCAACAATTTCGGTGTATAATCAACCCTAAAAATAAATAAACAATATTTTGGATTACTTGATTTTTATTAAAGACAGATACCAGGAGCTCAAAAGTTTGTCCGAATAACTTTCAGTGTATTGTGCAGCAGTGAATGCAACTATAATACCGAGGAAAACAAAATATCCTCCTCCAAATTGAATATATTTATTATAAACGCCAAATTTCACGCTGCCCTGCTTATTTTCTTCGTGATATATTTTTTTATTTCTTTCCTCGATTAAAGTGTGTTGTTCTGTGGGTTGGGTATCTTTGTCAGGTACCTCGAGTTTCTCGTTTTGAATGACTTCGTAATCGTTTTTTACTGGCATCACTTTGGTTTCGCCTTCGTCGATTTCATTGTCTTCGCTCATAGCTTGTTTCACCTGTTCAATCAATTGTTTGGTTGGTTGCCCGGTCGATTCGATCGTGCCATTGCTCATAATCACCACAGTGTCCGCTTCCATCAAATGATGATGTCTCTGTGTAACCAAAACTACCAACTTGCCCTTCAGGAACCCTTTTATGCATTTTTCGAATATAAAGTCTTGAACGTGTGCATCAAGAGCCGTCAGCGAGTCATCCAACAAGTAAATTTCGCTTTGCTTGTAAACAGCCCTAGCCAAATTAATTCTGGCCTGTTGCCCTTTGCTCAAGTTAATTCCTCTGTCGGCCACTATGGTCTCGTCACCGTTATCCAAGCAATCAAGGTCAAATTTGAGAGAGCAAACATTTATTACCTCCTCGTATCTCTCGGGATCGAACTTTTCACCAAATAATATGTTATTTTTAACGGAAGAAGGAAATAGCCACGGATCCTGCGAGGCATACGAAATCCTTCCGTAGGTGACCAAGTGGCCCCCGGCATCTTTTGGATAATCCTGCAAAATTGTCTTCACAAGGGAACTCTTTCCAGAGCCAACGTTGCCTGTAACCAGCGTCAATCCTGCGCTTAAGCTTAAAGATACGTCTTGAAGTATGATCATATCCTTGATTTTTACCATAACTCCTTTCAGTTCGACTTTCGGTTCTGATGTTATTTCATCGGAACCGGAACCTTCCGCCTTTTTCATTTCTTCCGCCTGCAGCAACAAATTAATTCTTTTCGCGCTGGCGTACAGCACAGAAGCTTGGGCCAAACTGGTTGGAATCAAGTACTCCATTGACCATTTTAAATTTTTATAACAGGCTACAATGTAAAATATGAGCTCTGGGGAAGCGTTTTCGTGTATCCATAAGTTTCTGATTAAAATATAAAACGAGACCTTTGATCCGAGAACACCGACCAACAGTAGGGCATACTTCAGGTAATTTCCTTTTAGCATAGAGTCGACTTCATTTCTAAAATATTTTTTATATAAATGCGTATTATACTATATACTATACTATAGGGTGTTTCAAAATAAGGCAATATTTTTTTTTCTTCCAATTCATGTGATATTCTCGTCACTTATGCTAAACAAAAATTCTGTCAAAATTTGAGCTCTTAATATTAATTTTAAAAGGTCAATCATAAAATTTAAAGTTTTCCCATTGATTTAACATGGAAAAATAGTTTTTTAAGATTTATTTCGCCTGCATGCTATGTAGAACTTTTTTTTTGATAAACAATCACTGGGGCTTTTTTAGAATTAAATTATCTACAAAAAATCCAGTTTGAAGATTCTACTCTTTTTTTTATTAATGTTGAAACGTATAAATTCTACAAAAAAATTGATATTTTTACATTTAGCGGCTAAAGTACTAATCGTAAAAGAAAAAGTTAATTAGCAATTTTAAAGATCTTTTAATGCTCTAAAAATTTAAGGTTTAAAATCATTTTCAGCATATCAAAACTTTTTTGAAGCGAAGTATAAAGTTTAATTTGCACTCAAAAGCTGGATCATGAAATTAAAAATATTATAAAAGTTATGTTATTTTAGCTTAAATTCAGCGATTAATTGAGTGTGTTGAAGAATCTTGGTACGTTATTTATAGTGCTTCGAGTTTCCTGCAAAATTGTCCCTAAACTTTTTTCCTACAGTAAATATTATAATAATATATTATGCAAAATCATGAAAATAGGATTTTAGACACTTATAACTTTTGAACTGTAGGTGAAAAAAATTGTTTAAAACGAATTTGTAGAACATTAAAAGATATTCAAAATTGCTAATTGACTTTTTTTACGATTAGTAATTTAGCTGCTAAATGTAAAAATATAAGTTTTGACGTTAATAAAAAAGAAACAGTTGAATCTACAGACTGGACTAAGATTTTTTGTAGACAATTTAATGCTAAAAAGGACCAGTGATTGTTTATCAAAAAAAAAGTTCTACATAGCATGCAGGCGAAATAAATCTTAAAAAACTATTTTTCCATGTAAAATCAATGGGATAACTTTAAATTCGATGATGGACCTTTTAAAATTAATATTAAGAGCTCAAATTTTAACAGAATTTTTTTTTAGCATAAGTAACGAGAATTTCATATGAATTTGAAAAAAGAAAAATATTGCCTTATTTTTAAACACCCTAATATACTATACCGGGTGTATCTGAGAATACTGTAACTTTTTTATTTATAAAGATAGACACATGAAATTTAGCATGGTTAATTAGGATATAAAATGCATTTTTGAACTTCCGGTTTCGCCGGAAATGATATCAATCTTCGATTTTTATATATATTTTTACATATTTATAATCCTGAGTAAATTCTGACTCTAACAGCATCCTCAAATTGACCTTTCGACGTTTCGTCATCAGAAAATGCATAATCATAAAGATCAATCTAGAGTGCTAAACTATTTGAGAAGTTTAGACTACTGGGAATAGCTGAATAACAACTTTCTAAGGCAAGTTATATTTTTCAGGCATTGTGTTAATCCATTACAAGAAAATAAGATAGTTCAAAGCACTCTAGATTGATCTTTATGATGATACATTTTCTGATGACGAAACATGAAAAGGTCCATTTAAGGATGCTGTCTGACTCAGGATTCCAAATATGTAAAATATATAGGGCATTCCATTTAAAAATCGAAAGTTGGTATCTTTTCCGGCGAAACCGGAAGTTCGAAAAATTAATTTTGTACTCTTATAAGTGGCATTTTATATCCTAATTAACCATGCAAAATTTCATGTGTCCATCTTTATAAATAAAAAAGTTACAGGGGTGCGCCTATTCTCAGATACACTCGGCATATGTATTTAGCAACGATATGGTTATTATTTCGGGGGAGTAGGACTTTTATACAGCAAAGGTATAATTTTTGATACAAACTTAGGTTTGTATCAAAAATTTTAAATTTAAACCAATAAAAAAACTTAATTCAAACTGAAATTATGCTGAACAAAATATAATTCATTAACACTCTTTAATTTAATATTTTAATGCGTGAAAGTGAAACCTGTCAAAGAAATGATAATGCCTACAACGAAAAGTCGTAAAAATAATAGGAGCACCCTTACTTTCTTGCCAGCGTAACTAAATCGTAAAAATACTTTTCCCATGTATACATTTTTATAATTTTAATGGACGATAATGTTTCTTGAGTTACTTGCAGCCTTTCGTCCATCTTAGCACCGACATTAAGCCACATTAGGCCTATTAACTTTCCCAAAAACACTAGAAAAAATAAACATTAAAAAAAAATAATTTAGCAATTTTTATCGAGTAGGTAACTAACATTGAATTGGGATTAAAAGAAGCATGCAAGCAATCCCCATAAAAGCAACCCAACCAATTTTGAAAAACAGCAAATAACAAGTGACTAGAGCTTGGGTGGTACATATCCAAAAATCGTTAATTATCCAAGAGGCTCTCTCAAACGTTGCAACGTCTTTGGTCATTAAAGTGACAATGTTTCCGAAATTGACGTTTGCCATTGCGGAAGGAGTTAACTTCAGTGCTTTTCTGTAAATTAATGACGACAGCCCAGTTCGAATTTGAATGGCGAGCGTTTGCATACACAAAATCCAATTGTGAAGGAATAAAAACTGTGCAATGCTCATTCCCACCAAAATTGACCCGTAATAATATGCATCCTGTCTGCTTATTTCCGTCTGACCCTCTTTAAAGTAGCCTATCAGTTGACTCATTGAATAGGGCTCCACAATTCTAAGGAAAAATTACAAAATCATCGATATTAAACATTTAGTTTATAGTTGCATTTACGTGTACATCACTTTCCATGTAACAAGTATGAGCCCTAAAATCATGAAACGTATTCCAAAACATGTCCATAATAATAACGCTATCGATGGTTTTTTTCCTCCGGAGCCTATTTTCTTCCAGGCCAACTCCACCTGATCCCCTAGACTCTTAGAATTGCAACTATCCAGCACACTATACAAATCTTTTTCCTGGAGGTCATTTTTTAAAGCTTTGCCAAAAAATTTTCTTGTGTAACTAAAACAACCACCATTAATAAGGTATTAACTTACTACCTACTTACTACTTACAAAAAAGTTAAAAGAGAAAATATATTGGCTTTTTCCTTCGGATGTGCCTTTCGTTTTTCATCTTTGCCGTGATCCATTACTTTAGAATTACTACTACGTGATTGTTAATTTTTTTTAAGTATTTATGTTTTATTATATAATATAGGGATTATGCTAACAAATCTTTTCCTCTAAAAAACAAATAATATTTTATTTAAATTGCACAACTAAAATAGATTCGTGGATTTTTTTTAATCAAAAGTAAATAAATGTACTTAACTAAAAACCTTGAATAAACGAGATAAAAACATTTAAATTTTTTAGAAATCACCAAATTTGATAGAGGTAGGTACCTAAATACCAGAGCTGACCAAGTACTGAGTACTTTTACTCGTATTTCAATTAAGAGTAAAAAGTACGAGTACCTACTTTTTTACTCATAAGTATTTTTCATTTGAAATACTTATTACTCGTACTTAAAACCAAATCCAATGTACTCGTAAAAAATACTCGTGGAATTCACGAGTAATATATACGAGTATTTTCGTTTATTATATGGATGACTTTTTGCCAAAATATTGTAAGCATCAAAACATTTTGTTTGGAAGTCTGTTTTAAATTATATAATATATAGTATAATATAATATATTATAGCCTATACTATAGGCCCTATAGGTTTAATAACAAATAAATAGGTAAAATTATAAACTATTTAAAAATTGTTATGATTTTAAGTACATAATGTTTAAATTTTAAATAAATAATTTTATTAATTTGTATTTTTATAGCTCAGGACCAATGTATGTAAAATGTACACTCTCTAAAAATGAATTAGTCAAAAATGACTAATTACCACAGTTATTAGTGGAAATTAGTGAAAATACCGTCAAAAATTATGAAAGTTGAGATATGGTCAATTCCATATTATATGGAAAAGGGGCTATATCTCAAAAACTGTTATACTTTTCTAACTTGATGACATTTTCCGATTCAGGGAACAATTTTACATGGAAATTGACTGCTAAATGTTAAAAACTGTTAAAAATACAAATTGCTATTGACGAAAAGTATTAGTGGCTGCTTTTTCGCTATGACAATTAGTCATTTTTGACCATTCCATTTTAGAGAGAAAAGAATAATCAATTATATTAACTCACTTTTTTTTCAAAAGTACTCGTACTCTTTACTCGTGTCTTCACGAGTACTACTCGTAACCGTAACCTTTCTTTACAAATGTACTTACGAGTAAAGTACTTAAGAGTAAATATTTTAAGTACTCGTACTTAAAATTTTACGAATACTTTTTTTAGTAGGTACTCGTGCCCAGCTCTGCTAAATACATGCATTTTTAAAGCAAAACAAAAAAATTCTTCTTGATTGTTTAAGTGCCCAAATGTATATAGAATGCATAAAATATGGTAAAACAAAAAAAATAATAAAGATAAATTTTCTGATTTATTTGATAATTATATTTATTAAATTATATGGAAAGTCCGTAGGAACCTTATACAATGCATTGTACGTATCCATGGATACGTAGAACATGCCTTTAAAAAATAAAATATAATGCAAATAAGTACCCGAATCGGTCTGAATTTTTTTTTAAATCGATTCAGAATCTTGTTTGTATAGAAAACATAAAAAACACGTTTCTAGCGCTTGATAAGAGAAAATTATTGACTCACAAAGTTGTTAAAAGTCCTTAGGTATTTAGCCGCCCCGGGCGATGAGAAAATGTCAAAATAGTAAGTTATTGCAATGAAAACAAACACTTCATTATAGTGCCCACCGAAGTTTCGATTCTGGCTATAGCTATAGTTATAGAAATGCTGGTTTCGCTCGCAGTTTTGAAAAAAATTGGCCGAAACCAATTGAAAATCTATTAAAAAACATGGACCAAAAAACATTGATAAATTTTGAATTTTTTCGTAATTTCAAGTTTCAAAATCAAATTAAAATTTAAATTAAAACTAATAAAAATTGGTAAATAGGAATGTTTTAAAGAAATTATTTTAAAAAGTACTCAAAACATTATTATTTAGTACCTACGTAGGTTTAAAAAAAGGAATATAAACTTAAAAGTACTAATACATCGATTAGGGGTCATCCATTAATTACGTAAGGCAATTTTGGCGATTTTTCGACTCCCCCCCTCCCCTTGGTTAGATGTCGTGAGATTTTGCTCGACCCCCTCCCCCACCCTTAATCTCACGTGAGATTTTTTAAAACACAAAAAAAGTGCTCTTTTAGTTCCACCCTTACTTCCTAAGAAGTCCCAGAAGCCAACTGAATGGCTTGTGCGGGTTAGGGGTAGGAACGGACCGCGGGCTTAAAGTCCCCTCCGAAGGACTATTACACAATAGGACAAACACATGCATTGTTTTAATGTAAATAAGTTAATCTGTGATTGATTCCATTAGATTTATTAAAAAAAAACAATTGTTATAATTGGGTCATTTTCAAGAAACACCCGCTTTCAGGAAAATGAAGATCATAATATTTTTTTTTGCTTAAATTGGCTTTTGGTTGGATTTTTATAAATGTTTAGAGTTTTGTTTATTTACATTTAAGACAGACAGTGCACTTTTTAATTTTTTTTACGTTTTTTTCAGAAAAATGTGTTTAGCTAGCTTTATATATCTCCACTGTGTTACCAATTTGAAATCCAAAATTTAATTCAATAAAAAAAGTTGTTATAAAAATAATTTGAAATAAAATGTACTTAGTTCACAAACTTTTGACTCCAATTTTTTATTTTATTTTTTGTTAAAAATTGTATGCTTTTTTTTAATTATGTATGTTCGTAAAGTTACTTAAAAAAAAAACCATTCCGATTATTTGTTAAAAAACAATACTATTAATATTTTCTTTTAGTCACTGTATTAGTGAATTAAATCTAATTTATAAACACGTATTACCAAGTCAACAAAATCCCTTGTAGTGGTGCTCACTTGCAGAATAACAACTTAGATTTCTAAATTGTAGACACCCTTTTTCTTTGACTATAAGCTGGTGAAGGTCCCTTTTAGTACTTTTATATTGCGTGGAATTTTTCCTTGGATGTATCTATATCATGAGTTGTAATTACAAATAATTTTAAATTGGTTAATCATAAACTACTCTTAATAAAAGCGATGGTAAATATCCACTTTGTTGTCGAAAAATTCTATTGCGTTACCCTAAAGTCCATTGCGTTACCATAAGGTAACATAGTGGACCCGGTAACGCAGTGGAAAAAGTTTTGTGAAACTATATTTAAAAAATAATAATAAGACATTATAGTCATTAATTACTCTCAATAAGCTTTAGTGCCCTAAAATAAACATAAACATGAAAAATAGTATTTTTTCTTACCTTATTTTTATTTTTTTTTGAGTAACTTAGCGGACAAACAATTATTACATTCGCGTTACCCGCACCTGTTTCAACCGATATCTTCTTCCTGATTGAATAAATAAATTCAGCTGGGTAATGTGTACGTCCGAACATCATTTGTTGATCACGTGAGTACCAAAAAAGTTGCCATATATATGTTTTTTTTAATATTCTATCGGTAACGCGAAGGACGTAACGCAACGGAAAAATGTCTGGGACATGAGTCAAATTTAAAATCGTAGATTAAAATTAATTATTTTATATATAAATTGTTTACTGTATTAACTAAGGATGTTATGGATTGCTATAAAGCAACACAAAGTTCTGGTTTTTCAATATAAAAAAAACATGTATGTAAGTTTTATAAAACGTGTGTTTCACAAGTTTCAAAATTAAAAAAAAAATATTCTGAAATAACTAAACAAAAATTTTACTAAGGGCTTGTTAGGCTTTCACTTGGTTTTTAAATCAATAAGATCCGATAATTTTTAACAAAGTTATTGGAATTCAAACTTACGGGTGTTTTTGAAAACGACCCAAATAGGAATGTTTAAAAAAATTATTTTAAAATAGATACTCTATATATGAATTTATTTTTCGATTCCTTGCAAAATTCTGAGCATAATTTATATAACAAACCATATCCTAAATTCAACTGTTTCTGAAATATTCGCATTCGAAATGATATCAATAAATGTTTTTTTAAACTGTTAGAAATCAAGAAGCCTCAGTATACCAAAATTTTATTGAAAATAAATTATTATAGTGACATTATGTCAATATGTCTTGTTAAATAAGTAAAAATGGCCTACTCAGCCAAAGAAAGACAAACTATTTCAACTTAAATATTTCAGAAACGGTTGAATTTAGGTATATGGTATGTTTTATGAAATATAAATACATATATAAGGTCAACCGTTGAAAAAAAATAAACTTTTTGTTTTTCCCTGTATACTGATCAATTTTCTTTATGCGTAGAAAAAAAGTATTTTTTAGTACCTACATAACCACACTTTTAAATTTTTTCGGACACTTAAAATAAAAAAGTTAAAGGGGGGCGACATTATAGGGGATCACCCTGTACCTACGTTGATGCGTTAAATGGTTATGTGAAACCAGCGAACTGTAAACTTATGCAAAATTGACTTCGTTCTGAATTTGTTGAACAATTTATTTTATAATTGTTTAATGGTATAAATTGGCTCAGCAAAAACAATGTTACCCTATAGATAGAATTCAAGCGGATTTAGGCCAAAACTGTCAAATTCAACTTTAACTTATTTTAAGGGTTGATATTTTTAAAATTTATTTGAAGGACATGCGATTTTAAAAGTTACTATTTGTATGACATTTTATTTTTGTCTTATGCTATAGGACCTATATTATTATGAATTTATAGAATTCAGGTATACCTATACCCAATAACGAAAGGAAGTAAAAATTTCCAAAATTTCCTGAATTTAAAAAATTACTAATTTTTTTGCAAATTTTGAGAATTTTGTAAAATTTTGGTAATTTTAAATAATTTCTCGTACTCGTACAAACCTGATATATACAGTATGTTCACGGTAGGGGTTACAAAGAAAATAAAATATTTTACATTTCTCAGAAAAAAATCTTGATAAAGATTTTTGCTTGATTTCAAACCCCTGGAATATGCAAAACATCATTTTTATTGTCTGTAACCCAACCCAAATAATGTCAATAATATGCAATAGGAGAAAAAAAAGCTTTTATCTCCACGCGGTCTATAATTTAAACTTTATTGTTGTCAACATTCGATAAAGAAATACCTTATTATGGCCTAGGCTGATAA